CAACACTCACTATTCATCCCAGAGGCAGCATCGATCGGCTTCACTTACCAGCAGTAGCGAAGGAATCGCTCCATCGGGTTCAGTTAACAGCCATCGGTCGATCCCTCGGGTTCAGTAACGCGTAGCCTGCACTGCAATCGCTCGGGTTCAGTTAGAGCCCAACGCCTCGCTCGGCTTTAGTTAGAGCCAACGCCTCGCACACACGCGTGTACGTACGAGAGAAACGCGCATCGCTCCGCCTCGACCTCCCACCGTAACCGGCAATTCCCCGAAATTTTCCTCCCCCTCGCTTCTACCATGGTTTTTTCCGTCATGGATGGCCCAAAGAATGTCATGCAGTTGCGTCTCCGGCCCGCCCAGAACGAAAAGCCCATTTTCTGTCATGATTTTTTGTCATAGAAGTAGGAGCCCACCACATCTATGATGATACCGGGTTTTGTCACAATTATCGTCATAGAAGTGTCATATGTATGACAGAAAAAAAATTCGTTCGGCCCAAAATGTCACGGATGTGTCTTTTTTTTGTAGTATGCACACGGTATCATATTTTCCATCCAAGGCTCTTAGGATCTTCTTGATGATGAATTTGTCGGTCATCTCTTCGCTTCCTAAGCCGGCAATCTCATTTGTGATGAGAGCAAGCCTAGAGTACATCTCAGCGACTCCTTCACCATCCTTCATTTTGAACTTGTCAAGTTGACTTTGAAGCACATCCAATTTGGATTCCTTGACGGACTCGGTACCTTCATGCATATCAACCAAAGTATCCCAAATTTCCTTTGCATTCTCAAGGCGGCTGATTTTTTTGAATTCTTCAGGGCACAATCCGTTGAAGAGGATATCGCAAGTTTGAGCATTGTATTGCAACATCTTCAATTCTTCCGCGGTTGCTTCACGACCCGGTTCTCTTCCATCCTCAAAGTATTCACCTTGCAAACCAATATGCACAATAGCCCAAATGGCCAGGTTATGACCAAGAATATACATTTTCATCTTACGCTTCCAACTAGCAAAATTAGTACCATCAAAGTAAGGACCTCTACGATAGTAATTTCCCTCGCTAGACGCCATACTCTCCCAGGTTGTGAAACCAAGGCTATGATCACCAAAAGCGATGGAAATCAAGGCAAATGGAGACCAAAGCTCCGATACCACTTGTAGGATCGAAAGTAGGTCTAGCATTTTCCCAGTTTTAAGTCTTGGCAGATTTTAGCAACTTAGCACAAGTCAAGCAATCAACCTACATGCAATTCTAAGAGTGTAGCAGCGGAAAGTAAAACATTGCATATGAAGGTAAAGAGAAAGGTTTGGAGAAGGCAAACGCAACGTAGACATAGAGATTTTTGGCGTGGTTCCGTTAGGTGGTGCTATCGTACATCCACGTTGATGGAGACTTCAACCCACGAAGGGTAACGGTTGTGCGATTCCACGGTGGGCTATGTCAACTGAACTCGGTGGCGCTGGATAGATCAAATCGGCGGGGCCGAGTTTGACTTTAGGTTTGGACATATGTGGAAATGAGAAAGTGGTTGAGGGTTTTGGAGCAATATCACTAAGCACTTTGAGCAAGTAGACCATTAAGCAACACCTCGTCCCCTTTTAATAGTATTGGCTTTCCTATGGACTCAATGTGATCTTGGATCACTAGAATGAAAATGAAGAGTCTTGAGCTTTTGCCAATCTTTGTCCTTAGCATTTTGAGGGGTCCACATCTCTAGTGCATGCCATGCCAATCATTGAACTTTCTGAAATATTTAACTTGAATGGATATTAGTTCAATGAGCTATATGTTGTTATGAATTACCCAAACCACCCGGGGATTAGTTGCACTTTCACTCCCGATTAAGATGGTCGTGGCATGAATAGGACGAGGGGGCAAGACCTTGGAAAGGTACTCTTGCACCATGTAACAATGTTGACCTTCAGTTGTTTGCCGCTTGTTCGAAGATCACCCTGGGCAATGATAGTAATGTGAGTTTTTTGGGATCATAGATGACTCCATGGTCAGGCACCAAAGGAGATGGAACTTGAGCTTTATAAGTTGTCCATATCAAAATCTGCTACGATTCAAAAAGGTGTCTAGAAGGGACTCTAATTGATTGGCTTGGCCAAGATCAACTGGTCCTTGTAGCTGGATGCCTTCATTAGGCTTTGGTGCAAAGTTCAAAGTATACAGTTAACATCCGACCCTGACAAAATAGCTTGGAGCCTGAGAATATTCTGTAAGATCAGCCTACAGTGTGAAATTCCTTTCGCGCATCCCTATCCCGATTCTTGAGAAAGTCTCGACAATCGAAGCTGAAATGAAAGTGAAGTTATTTATTTGGACCTTACTACAAAAATATTATAGACTGCGGTCAGATTGTAGACAAGAGGTTGGGATCATCAAGACAGGTGTTGTGCCTGCGATCAGCCTCAGGAAACGACCTCTCACCCATTCCTTAAGCCAACTCTAACCAATCCCCTAAAAGTTAAGGGACCACTAAGTTTTGGCCCGACCTAGCCGATCCCCTAAACTTAGCAGAGTAATTTTTTTCATTTGCATTTCAATTTTGGCCACCGAAACACATTTCTTTGCTTCTTTATTTCATTCAATGACATTGGATTACATAATAATTCATCAATTCTTTGCTAGAAGAGCCAGACCAAAGAAAACAAGAACCACAATTAAACATTTTAGAAGATATCCAACTTCCATAACTGCTCCAACTAGTTGGATTAATATCTTCTCGATGCCTTCATTGTTGATCTGTAGATTCTCGATCTTGCATAGTTCATTCTTCTTCTTTGATTCTAAAGAAGTAGACGTTGCTTCCCCTCTAATTTCTTCTCTAATCTCACATCTAGTCTCATGGTTAGCCTCAATTCTAGCAATAGCGCACAGACATCTACTAATTTTTGTGCTATTAATTGATCAATGTATTCTTCTTCCCAATACCAAAACGAACATCCATCATCCTACAAACATAGATGAGCATCAATGAGCTACCGAAATTGAACCGAATCCGGTGAAAAATCGAATCAAAACAAGCACGTACCCCATCGTTTGTGCATTTGAAGGACACCCATCCGTGATGTTTCGGCGTGGTAGAAACTTGGCTCACTACTTGCCGTGTGCAGTCATCGCATTGTATGACCGACAGCTGCAAGCCGGTGAGCCGCTGCGCGAGCGCCGAGCCCAGGCGACAGTCAGCCGTGTAGTTGCCGGAGAACCGACGGCGAGAGTGATTAGAGTGGCTAGAGGAAGAGCCAGTACTTGCATGTGGAGCGGAGGCTTTGTCGGGGCTGTGTGGGCCGCTTCACGGCCAATCCATGGCAAGGCGCGGCCACCGGTGGCCGGAAACGCCAAATCCAGCAGCAACAACAACAGCCGCAGATCCCCTCGATTTTTGGCCGGCGGCGGGACGAGGAGGTGGTGGAGGATAGCGGCGGAGGCCTACAAGGCTTCCTCGGCGGCTGGCCTGTGCCGGCGGGGAGGGTGGAGGGGTAGGAGGGGCGGCGGGGGCAAAGATGCGGCACGGGAGGGGAGGGAGAGGCAGCAGAGAAGAGCCACGTCGTTTTACTCGGCGGAGCAAAGAGGGAGTAAAAATAGGAAAAAATTTAGGGAGAGGAGTAAAATTATACTCCGTTAAGCCGGATTAGGAATCGGCTAGGAGCCGGTTAGTGGAGTAAAAAACTAAATATACTCCACTGACCGGTTATAGGGGACCGGTTAGAAATACCCTTAGCTGCCCTTTTGCAAAGGAAATTTGGTACCACGTTGGAGCTTACTTTCCCAGTGCATCACTCGCGGCTGACTCTGCACAATTGTTCTCGGATTGGTGGTCTAAATGCGAGTGCCTCACAAAAAGAAGAATGAGATTGATGCGCGCACTGCTGCTGCATACATCGCTTGAGGGTTTTCGAAAGAGCCAGATGCGAGAATCTTCAATAACAAGCGGGCAACCCCTCAGAGCGTTCTTCTAATTATCAGAGATGAAATCAGCCTCCTTAGGGAGGCCTTAGAGTGATCCGTTTTGCTGTTTCTGCGCACTCCTGTAGTTTGCTGTTTCTGCGCACTCCTCTAGTAGTGCTCTGTCCATCTTTTTCTAACGCTCTTCCTCTCCTTTTATCTCCTCATGGCTAGTTCCTAGTCTCTACAGTTTTGCTTTACCCCATAATGAAAATGCCGAGCTCCTGTAGTTCCGGTCAAAAATAACTACAAGATCGATACCCACTATTTTTTTTTGACAAACTCAAGATTGATACCCACTAACTTACAAGCAAGTAAACAAAATCATGCATACATGTTGTGGTTTTGCATTTCGCACTTCAGAACGAGCCTTTATTTTTGGACCAACTGAATTTACCCACAATTTCCATCACTGAAAGTTGAACAATGTATACGTCTTCAAAAGACCTTCGGTCGGGGAAAAAGACAAGGTATATCAGTTCATTGCAACATTCACATTAAGCAATGTTTTTTCACAAGAAAAATAATCTTCCCAGTCTATGAAATGCAAGACAATGCTGTATCTCATCATCAACCCCCTCCCTCGGCTTCTCGGATTTGCGTTCCTCAGCGGTGTGATCAGTCATAGGATCATAGCTGACCTCCTGATTACAAAACATTTCTGCATTCCCCCCTTTTGCAGTCGTGCCCATACGCTTACTAACACCGCCGTGACAGTAGTTTCTAGTTTGTCGCCATACAGAAGGCAGGCCATCGAACGCGAGGCAAATTCCTTCCCCAAATCACTGGGGAGTTCTTGAGTTCTGCAGTAGTATGTTCAGGAGATACAATAGCCTGTAATCAGCTTGTGAACGTCCGGTGGATGGGGAGTCATCATGTATTGTAATCGCATGTAAGACTCTGGCGGATGGGGCTCTTTACCCCCTTTCTCCCTTTAATATATGATACACATACTTGTGTGTATCCTAAAAAAAAAGAAAAGCTTGTGAACGTCGAGCCACTGCATGCCCGGCTATTCTGGCCACATGATGTAACAACATAGGTTCATTCAACTTTGATCTCGTTGGGTGCACCCGGATGGTTCCTTGTCAGAAGGTATTAGGACACTGTAAGGTAAGTCCAATTCTGCATGCCAATCGAGTATCTGATGCTCACCGAGGGCAAAGTAAAGTTGAAACACTGCGCAAAAAAAGGAAGGAAAAACATAAGGCAACAACCAGCAGCTATGCAGAAGCAGAACAACCTTCATCATAGTCATTACAAAGGACGAGTAACAATCATTTCATGCAGTATGCTGATTCACAGGGGCCATTCTCACATGTTCATCCTTAAAGAAGAGTGTCGGTGCTGTGGTGCAGGACATATATGAATCAATTGCAGTGTACTACCAAACTATCTTAAAACTGATGCATGGCCAACGAAACACTTCCACCATAAACTGATTTGGACACTTCAAACTGCTAACCATTTTCAGTATCACTTTGTCTTCGCAAATGTGCATTCCCCAAAAAGGCGGAGCACTGTCGATCTCAAAAAATTGAAATTTCCCTCATCAAGACTCATACTTATTCCAGACAGTGATGTTCTTTTGTCCAGAAGACAACACAGGTACCTCAACCTTTCAATGGTAAGTGATTTGCCTTGAGGTTTCAGCAAACATTATCAGTAGTCAGCCCTATCTCTACAACGCGACTTCAAATCGTACAAGGTAGCATGGCTCCAATCTTTATTCTACATGAATCCTCATGGATCACAGAGTTGGTTCTAAATTCAACAGTGAAAGCACCTGGTCCACCTGGTCAAACACCGACGGGGCAGTGGATGTTTCAATAATCTAATCTATGCAACCACAAAACTTAAATTCCACTCAACTTACTGCATACTCCACTACTACTCTTCTTGTTAACCTTCACTACACAAATTTGACCACATTAGTTGAGGCTATCCAATGATCTTATTCACTGATCCTTCCCACCCAAAACAAATAAATCACTTGACCAGCATATCCAACTGTCCAACAGCATAACATTGGTTTATGTCACAGAATACAATCAGAAGACAGGAATGCTACCTGAAAATTCAGAACCTTTACCATGCAATTCACAGCACCCCACTAGACAGCATCTACTTCCTGATTCATTCAGTTTCCTTCTAGTGACATCTCAACAATACACTTTTAAATCATAGTACAAAGTAGCATGGCTCCAATCTTTATACTGAATTATCATGGAGCACACAGTTGGTACTAAATTGAACAGTGAAAACACCTGATCAAACACCAATGGACCATGGATATTTCAATAATCTTGTCTATGCAACCACAAAACTTACATTCCTCTGAACTTAGTGCCTACTCCGCCACTACTTTTCTTGTGAACCTACACTGCACAATTTTGAGCACATTAGTTGAGACTATCTGATGGCCTTATTCATTGATTCTTTCTACCGAAAACAAATAAATCACCTGTCAAGCATATATCAGTCACAGTCCAACAGCATAGCACTGGCGGCCTATGTCATGAAATACAATTAGAAGATAGGAGCTCTACCTGGAAATTCAGAAACTTCACCAAGCAATTCGCAGCGCCCCACTAGACTGCATCTACTTCCGGATCCATTCAGTTTCCTTTTAGTGACATCTCAAGCTGCTCCATCCTCCGGGCTAGATCATGTTTCCCAAGATGCCGCAGCCCATCAACTACAACGTTAAAGGTTGGCGCCCGTGGCGCGAACCCAGCCTCACTCATCTCAAGAAGGTAGTTTGCAGCATCCAAGAACCGACCACCCCTCACACACATTTTGACAAGCATCACATACACAGGCCGGTTAGGTGGGTGCCCCTTGGACTTCATATCACCAAAAAAGGCGAAAGCATCAGCGAAACGACCTGCCTTGCAGAGCGCCTTGACGATCGCCGCATATAGACTTGGGAAGGGCCGGTGGCCATCCTCAATAGCCGCATAGAACAATCGGAATGCCTCCTCAATTCGGCCAGCCTTGGCCACGGCCGGTAGCATCACTTTGTAAGTTGAGATATCTGGGCACATGCCACGACTGGAAGCATCGGCAAGAAGACCCACGGCGAATTCCACATCACCAGCATCGCAAAGCGCCTGGGCGAGCGAGTTGAATGTGGCCACGTCGGGGAGGACGCCCTCCTTGGTGATGCGGAGGGCGAATGCCTTGGCTTCTTCCAGGCGCCCAGCTCGGACGAGCCCGTCGACGAGGAGGTCCCGGCCGCGCACCGGCGGCCGGAACCCGCGGGACGACATGTCGTCGAGGAACGCCTGCGCCTCCCGGAGCTTCCCCGACGCGCACCAGGCGTCGACGAGCGTGCTGAACGTGGCGCGGTCTGGGGCCACGCCCTTTCGCGCCATGCGGCGGAGCAGCTTGTAGGCGCCGGCGAAGTTGCCGTTGGCGCAGAGCGCATCGAGAAGGGCGTTGTAGACCTCGGTGGTCTGCGGGCACCCGAAATGGGGAAGGCGATTGAAGACCTCGACGGCCTGCTCGGCGAGGCGGGAGTGGCCGTAGGACGAGATAACCGCCGAGAAGGTTGCCGGAGAGAGGGGGAGGCCGAGCGCGCGCATGTCGGAGGCCTGGGTCCAGAGGTGGGTGAAGAGGCGCGCGCGGGCGAGCGGGAGGAGCAGCGCGTCGAAGTGATCGGCGGAGGGGGAGAAATTGGGCTTCGCCCGGAGCCACGCTAGGAAGCGGGCGGCGTGGAGGGGCTCGGAGGGGGCAGCGGCGCGGATGACGCGGAGCGCGAGGTCCGGCGGGAAGGGGGACGGCAGGCGGAGGCGGTTCAGGGTGCGCTCCAGGTAGAAGTCGCGCCGTACGATGGTGGAGAGGTGGTTGACCGCCGCGAAGTAGGCGTCCTTGGAGGTGGGGTGCTGCGGCAGCTCCTCGGCGCCGGCCGCGTAGTCGGGGAGCGTCGCGAGTCGGCGGAGGCCGAGCCGGTCGCCGAGACGGCGGAGAACGGCGGCGGAGACGGAGGACGACATTTCTCGCCTCGCCTCGGCCGCCGCGGCCACACCGAGATTTGGGAGCTAACGGTGGAGCTGGACTTAGAAACGGAGGCCCATTCTGCAACTGGGTAAGTTATTGCAATGTACCGGGCTTAACTTTCTATTTTTCGGGCTAGACCGCACAGGCCCATTCGAGCCCATGTAACTAGGGTTTGTGGAGGGTATAAAGACTGCGTCGCCTTGCAAATCCATCCCCGCCGCCGCTCTTCTTCCTCCGCTCTTCGTGTTAGGGTTAGGGTCGTTCGCTCCCGAAGGTAGCAAGCAAGCTCGCAGACGAGCTCCCACCTAGTTTTCCCTGGTGATTTTACCCTCGTCATCTGATCCGAATTCCTTCTGCTCGTTTTGCCCGACAGATCAAAGATGGCGGTGCCGCTTCTGACGAGGAAGATCGTGAAGAAGAGGGTCAAGCACTTCAAGAGGGCCCATAGCGACCGCTACATTGGCCTCAAGGTATCAACCTCTCGCGCAAGACTTTTATGCAGTGGATGTTGCAAGTGCATCATGTCTTGATTGCTTCGTGCAGTTGATTTGACCCGGTTCTAGATCCCGATTCTTACTCATGCTGTAGTTTCAACTTGCAAAGTTTGCCGCGGTTCATGGCCTGATGTAGTATCTTAATTGTATAACCTGGAGGTCTGTGGCGTTTTGTAGTATTATATTCACTTGTGATTCGTAGTCGCTGTATGCCAAATTTACCACTTCGGCTTAGGCTATGTTACTGTGAAATGGAAGTGTTGTAGTCGTTGATTCAGCACTAGAGTGTTATATGGTATTAGCTAATGTTGTTGTAGAAATTTGTTGTGTTTTCTGAAGGTGGAAACCGTTTAGGGTATGAACAAGCACAAAGTAGATAACTGAACGATACATGTTTAAATTGGAATTATTTGTGACACTTTTACATGAAATCATCAATGAACATTGGCTTGAAAGATTATAGCAGACACTTAGCTGGGCAATTGTGTTTTCGTTTTACCTTGTTGTTTTATTGATGACTTTGTCAAGAAAGGAAGTGATGGCTTAGTAAAAGGTCTGAGTAAGGAAACATTTTCTTGAGCAAATATTGGGTTGAATGAAGAGGGCCCTAGCCCTTGCATTAGTATAGTACTGTGGCTGTCGCAACCTCTTCTACAGCAATTTATTCATGTCTTCATGAAGTGGGATGAATTAAAAAAGGTGTGGGCTTCATTCTGAGTATGAATGCTTTGCTTAGACTTCTCCCAACACTTGTTTCCCAGTGTGAGCTCAAGAAGTCATGTTTTCTGCATGATTAGTACCTTCTGTCTGATCCTATCAGCTCAACTAATACACTGTTATGTAACCTTTAGCTGAGCCGCATTTTCTTTGTCTGTTATTCTTCTATTTTGTGTTCTGTGATTTTTTTGTTGCAAGTATACCCCCATATAGGGCTGCAAGAAAAGCTCGAGGCTCGTGAGCCGCTCGAGATCGATTCGTTTTTTGGCTCGACTCGAGTTTGACTCGAAAAGAAACAAGCTGAGTTTGAACACTTTATGTAGCTCGACCAAGAAACAAGCCAATCTTAAGCCAATATTGACTTGCTCGATTTTAGCTCGATAGCTCGACATAATACCATTATGTTAAATGATCGTGCCAAATATTAAATAGAAATAAGATAATTTGTTACCATATATGATGTGCGTGATTTTTCTCCATTTTATTTACCAGCAAACATGGAAGCTTAATTAGGCGCAGCCAAAATTTAGGCCTAATTATGATACATGGTCACCTATGTCTTAAATATCCTGTTGCTTTTAGCAAAATTTCCCAGCATATGCACCTTCATTTTCTTGTGTTTCATCCACGAAGAGCACCATCTATTGCTAGTTCGCCCAAGAGACCAAGATGAGCTCTCCCGAGCATGCCAAGATTGCCGTACAAAGTTGTGTCGTGTTGTGTCCTTATCTAGTTGGAATAATCACCACAGATTTATAATTTTTAAAGTCTAACTTAGCTCGAAACTAGATCGAGATCGACTCGAGATCATTACAAGCTGAGCACAAGTCATGTTCTACAGCTCGATAGCTCGCTCGAATTTTTATATGAGTTGAGCTGAGCCAACTCCAACTCGCTCGAACTCGACTCGTTTGCAGCCCTACCCCCATACACCAATGCCAGCAAGTTGTTTGTTGCTTTGCTCAATTATAATTATTTCTGTGTTGGTTCGGTGGTACAAGTATGACCAGGAAACTTTGTGTAGGATGGTGCTAGGTTGTTTGGTATTTCATATGTGTTGAATCTTGTCTTTTCACCTCTTCTGGACTTGTTCTCTTGTTTATTATGTTATATTGTGCTTAAACTGAACAATATTTTGATTTTTGATTGTAGCAAAGCTGGCGCAGGCCAAAGGGTATCGATTCCCGTGTCAGGAGAAAGTTCAAGGGATGCACCTTGATGCCCAACATTGGCTACGGTTCTGACAAGAAGACGAGGCATTACCTTCCCAACAAGTTCAAGAAGTTTGTTGTCCACAATGTCTCTGAGCTGGAGCTGCTTATGATGCACAACAGGTAATGTGTGTTTATCATGCCTCCATGGATTTCGAGTCGCTCGACTAGTCGCGACTAGTCGACGACTAGTCTATGAGTCGCAAAAATATGGTCGACTCAGCTTAGTGTCGACTCGCGACTCTGAGTCGCGACTAGTCACAACTCTGGCTCGACTTCTTCCGAGTCGCTGCCCCAGAGCGACGACTCACATGAGTCGCGACTCGAAAACCATGCATGCCTCTTACAGAACTGCCTATTGTCATCCTAATTGTGATATGCCCTGTTTCTTGCAATCAGGACCTACTGTGCGGAGATCGCCCACAACGTCTCCACCAAGAAGCGCAAGGACATTGTTGAGCGTGCTGCTCAGCTCGACATCGTGGTTACGAACAAGCTTGCCAGGCTCCGCAGCCAGGAGGACGAGTAGACTGTCTGTCAGAAGTATGTTTTGGTCTGGTTCGTATGTAGGAAAGTATTCCGCTGTTCGTTTTGTGACTGTCAGGGGTATCTGTTATTCCAACCTTTTTGCTACCAGTGCCGACTGTAATGTGTCAAAGATCTACTATTGCCTTTATAATCTAGATCCGATTGCCAATTGCTGAAAAGCGTGTGTTAAATTGGGGTTTGGGTCTGCTTTATATTCTGGTGATCAAATTTGAATCATCTGTTTCGGAACTTGTGATCTTGTCACATTGTTCTGAGACCAAGGGAGACTCACTCTAGTGGGACATATGGTCTGTACCTCCTTGAACATAGAACTCCCATTTCCGACTCATTTCATGGGTTTTATGCACTTTGCACAGGGAGGCGTTATAGGGCACAACCGTTTTTTGTACGTACCACTACCACATTATATACTTTTACCTGAAATATGAGATATTCATACTTTAGTGATCTAGACATTTTTATATTTCTTTACGGAGGGAGTATATAGACATTTTTTTAGTGTGTTTTCATTCATTAGACATGTTTTAGTGTGTTTTTCATTCATGTCAGTTTGCATGTTGTTCATATTGAAATATCCAAAGCATTTTATATTTATGAACGAAGACCAAGTTAACTCACACAACTCATACAGCTTTGGGTGATGTCACAAACGTAACGGAACTGGTAACAATCATGGTCCGATCTTTGTAAGAGCAACTCCAACCGGGCGACCCATTTCCACGCTGGCCCAACGCGCCGACCTATTGCCAAAAACCGTTCGCATCGCGTTTGCGTGGTACCATTCCCGTACTAAAATTGCGCTTGAAATGTGTCGGTGTGGACGCGTCGCTCGTCCCCTCGGCGGCGCTTGAAATGTGTCGGTGTGGACGCGTCGCTCGTCCCCTCGGTGTCCGCCGCGGCCCAACTACCGCCTGTTGTCATATTTATAGCGACCATCGACACTAGGCCCATGCGTCAGCCAGTGAAAGCGTCTTTTTC